GAAGAGTAGTGAGAATGGAGCTGGAACTTAAAGGATGAAACAGACGAACTGTTACGAATGATTGGAGAGAGATTGTTCCATAGAAAGACAATTCGGTTAAAAAAAGAGTTTCTAAAAAGAGAGGTTTTACACGGATTGACATGAAGCAAGTTGTCCTTGCTTGAACGGGTGCGAGATGAGCGATTAGAAGAAAAGGTGACAAAAGAGGAGATATCTAGGTCGTAGAGGCCTTGTTTGCATTTGAAAAAAAAGATGAGATCCTTTATTTCAAGCCAGTAAGATATAGGTAATAAATTAAGTTTCCTAAGACGCTCAAGATAAGACAATGCCTGGAGGAGACTTCAATACCTCCCATTGTTTTTGCGATATACCCACCAATGCTTTGCGGGCAAAAACTTAAAAACTTAAATTAGCTCTGTGATAATAAAAGTTATTTGTTTTTTACATGAATTTCAACACTTGATCTGCATACTCCCACAAGCCAGTGTTTTGAGGCGATTATGAAGAAAGCTGGTTGATTCTGGGTCCAAACTATGTCCAAAGCCATCTAGACGTAATATCTTACAGTCCTCAGCTTTATGTATAAACACATTCATATCATGCCTAGAAACAAACGAAGATATTCTTCCAATTTTTACCCCAAAATCTCGCATTGCTATCCCTACATATGCGTCATCTGTGTGAAATGGTTTCCTGATATAGACATAATTAAATAATCTATTGAAAAGGTCGGCGGACAGAATAAAAAACGCTCCAGCATTATACTTTGGATAATTTTTTTCACCAAAATATTTCCAACTAACTGTCCATTTTCGACCGATAACGCGATGGACTCTCATTGGCGGGAAGGTCATTCCTCCATAAAATGGTCTCGGAAACTTAGCGTTAACAAGATATTCCAACACACGTGGTATGCGCACATAAACATCATCGTCTGTTTTGAGTGTGTATTTTATATCAAATTTACTTGCCCAAACTTGACCCATGTAGAACTTGACAACATTATTGATATAGTTGTCCGTGATATTTCCTATCAACATATCATTGTGTTGTCTAGCTTCAACCTTGTTTAGTTCATCATCGTTCGGTCCCGCTTTTCCAACAACAAATATGAGTAGCCACCTTAAGTTTTTTATTTTTTCATCTTGCAAAGCTTTACGTTGTTCACAATTGCTTCGATTTCCCCAGGTTTGTCGGATAGCCTCCCTATGTCTCCGAAACACGTCGCCCTTGGCGCCAGATTTGACCAAAAACTATCATAAAAATATCTGGTGTTGTTTCAACTTTGGGCGAAATTTCCGGGAATACGAATTTAAAATCTACAAAAGGGTAATAGTCGTTTACTATGTCAATCGACGGTTTTGTCGTTGGCTTTCTTGTTGTTGCTACGGGATTTTCAGAAATCTTCGTTGCACGAAAATTGTTTATAAATTTGACCAATGTTCTGTTAATATTCTTTAGCATCATGGCTACGTTAGCCGCATTTAAGGACTGTTTCGAGGATCTTGGCTTCCTACGACATGCTACTTCGACCTTCTCCCCGTGCTCTGGTTGTGGACAAGAGGTAAGATTCAAAGATCCATTATCACTTTTTGCACTTAGCCAAGTCGTTAAGGGAGTCCGAAACACAAGTAACCACACCTGACATAGGATGATAATAGCAATGATAAATAATTTCTTTTTGAATAGAAACATTTTTATAGCAATACAGGAAAGAAAATCGTTAATGAGTTTCCTTTCCTTCGTTATTTATTGTACGAAGTGAGTAGCTTTATTGAGATTTCAAAAACTCATTAATAATTCAGGAGAAAGCACAAAGAAAAATCATAAGCATGTTGTGCTTTTATATGTGATAAAAAATCATGTTAATTTAAAATTTAGCTTTGATTTTCTCGGTTTAGACAAAGTTTATTTTAAAAATTACTTCGCCAATGAACTCATATAAGATGAGCCGTTTTTGAAGCCATTTAAAGTATTGTAGTCGTGTTTTATCATATATGGGATAAAACACTCCTACGCGTGCTTTAAATAGTACTTAAAATGGTTTCGTTGCCTTTTAAACCTGCTCACTTTCAAACAATTATAAGTTGCTATGCAACAAATGTGCATGTTTTGTTTTTTATCAAATTCACGCAATAAATGTCAACTTTCTCTTTTATCAAGCGCTTCAAACAATGACGCACATTGTGACCCAACTCTCAAACAATTATAAGTTGCTATGCAACAAATGTGCATGTTTCGTTTTTTATTGAGTTTAGGTTTTTGTCGAGGGTCGAGTGTCCAATGTCGAGGGTGAGGGTAAAAAGTCGAGGGTGAGAGTAAAAAGTTGAGGGTGAGGGAAAAATGTCGAGGGTGAGGGTAAAAAGTCGAGGGTCATAAAAAAGTCGAGGGTCATAAAAAAGTCGAGGGTCATAAAAAAAGTCGAGGGTCGAAATTTGCGGGCAAAATAACTTGTTTAATATTGTGACATGGATTTATCATATATATGTATGCAGAACTACATTAACTTCACGCTCACGCTCTAACCCCTAGTCACGCTAGCTAGTTAACATGTTTATGTCTAATATGAGAACGGTCTCTTTGCTTTCTTATCAAATTAACGTAACAGCATATATTATCGGGTAACTGTAATCCTCAAGCCAGTACTGACAATATATTAAGGCAAAATATATTACCAATAGCAAATTATGATTGAAAAACTTGTGTGTTTTCTGCTAGATCGGAACGTGGTTAGCGCGGTGCAGACATGCCACTCAGTGTTTCAAGAAACAAAATGAACGCTAAGTGATTCAGTCAATATTACTCGTCTTACGGCCAAACATTGTCATTGACCAACCTCGCAAGCAAGGGTCTCCACACCAGTGCGGCGGGACGGAAACCTTTGCTTGATGCGAGGTTGAACTCATTGCCATTGCCATTGGCCTTATGAAATCATAGTATACTACGTTTAGAAATTCTTTTAAGTTAATATTGATAATAAATACTCTTTAACTTTGCTTTTAATGAAAAAACTCCGCCTTTTTACTAAGAATGCCTTAAGTTAATCAAAAGTGGCCTGGAGACATTACACGCTAGAAGACATGCTGCTGCGTGAAACTTTTAACCAGACGACCCAAAAATAAACCATCAACTTAATGAGTTAGTTTCTAGACCAGAATTGTCCCTTAATTCATGATTTACATAAGGAGAAAAACCGTTTTAAAAACTCTTTTATCGTTAGTAGTTGTCTTAGTTGTCGTAAAAATACAACCCCCGACTTTTGTATATGACCCTCGACTTTTTACCCTCACCCTCGACTTTTTACCCTCACCCTCGACATTGGACCCTCAACATTGGACCCTCGACATTGGACCCTCGACAAAAACCTAAACTCTTTTTTATTAATTCACGCAATAAATGTCAACTTTCTCTTTTATCAAGCGCTTCAAACAATGACGCACATTGTGACCCGACTCTCAAACAATTATACGTTGCTATGCAACAAATGTGTTGGCTTCGTAATTTTCACAAAACCTTTCTGCACAAATTTATTATGCTTTGCCAATTTCACACAATAAATAATGCCCATAAATCATGGCAGCTAAGGTATTAAAAATTATTATTATTAAAACTTTATTTAAAGAAGGTTAATTTACCAGGAAATATGCCAGTTTAGCTTTCGCTAATCTTCCACTGGACCTTCTAAAGTTAACTATATAATCGAATATATTTATATGCAGTACAATTTACATTTCTACAGACTACAGTATACATAATTACATAAAGTACATATCGATATAGGTATAACAAATTAGAATTAACATACACTGTACATCATTTTTTCATAAAATACGTCATAACGATGGTCTAATTTGATTGATCCATGCATTACTGTCGATGCAATGGAAGCCGGTTGATAAAATATTGCACCAATTCCTTTCCTCAAGTTGATCAATTCATTTGATAGAAAATTGATCAACTTCCTGTTACTTTTAGGACTTTTAGGTGAGCCAATTAGATTTCGTTTCAGAACCGATTGACCAATAGGAAACGCACAGGAAATAAAAATAAATTTTGAATGCGCAGGAATTGATCAACTTGAGGAAATGAGTTCATGCAATATTTTATCAACACTTCCATTCCATCGAAAGTAACATGTTGATTTATCCAGCTAATTCAAAAAAGGGTAGTCCTTAAACCTTAAACTCTAAGCGTACAAAGCACAATGGGAGCATCATTTAATCAGTTTAGAAATCATAAATGGGAGCTAATTTCTTAGAGACATGGTAAATATCACTTTAAGTAAGAACGAGAACAATTCATTCACAAATAGAGATAGATAGATAGATAGATAGATAGATAGATAGATAGATAGATAGATAGATAGATAGATAGATAGATAGATAGATAGTTAGTTTAATAAAACATTTACATTGCAGCCAAAGGCTGAATTACGTAAAGTTTACAAAATACGAATTATTATTTAATTACTATTATAATTATTAAGTTAAAATTATGCAAATATTTTATATATGCCATCGCCAATATAAACGGAGTTTCCAGTGCGATTAGTATTAAAACGTCGAGGAATGTCAAATTCATGACCATTTCTGAGATAGTGGTGCCAGTTAGGTTTCTGTGGGAGGAGGTCATAAAGTTTGTGGTTTGGATCCTTTGTAACATTATCAAACAAGTTTTTGCATAAGAAATTATGGTGTTCTTCTATTGGTTTGATGGTTAAAATTTCTCCCGTAGCAGAGTAGTCCATTCCTGGATTTATTATTGAAATAGTCCTTTTTCCAGTCGAATCAATTCGTTCTTTAAGTATTGAGGAAGGGAGAGATAAAAGGCTGGTACTGCGTAATCCATGACAGATCTAACGCAAGACGTATAGAATAACACAAGATCTTTTAACCGGTAACCTAGCTCTTTTTAATTGAACCAGATAATATAGTCCTTTACTGGCTTTTTTGACTACCTCTTTTATATGGGCATGCCAAGTTTGATTGTTACTTATTGTTACTCCCAATAATTTAGCACTTTCGGCTATTTCGACTTCTTTACCATTAAGTATGACTTGATCTAGAACAACTTGGTCCTTACTAAAAGAAACTCTCAATTCTTTACATTTATCTGGAATCTGGATGTAGCTTTAATCTATTTTCATCTGACCATTGCTTAATATGATCTGCTGTGTTTTGGGCTGTACTAACATTGCCTTTGGGAAGAATTTCCGATGCTGTGGTATCATCCACTAACTTCCACAGGTATGGGGAATTAATATTCAGGTCTTGCATCATTAAAATAAATAACCACGGACCTAGCTTTGTACCTTGCGGTACACCAGACGGAACAAGGCCCCACTCAGAAAAACAGCTATCGGCTAATTTAACTCTCTACGTTCTATGAGAAAGAAAATCTATTATCCAGTTAATTATACTTCTAGGTATGTTCAAATTACCTAGTTTCTTTAAAGGAATTGTATGGTCGATAAAATCGAATGCCTTGCGATAATCAAACAATATTGTCCTTATTGTCGCCCCATTCCCGTCAGTGTTTATAAACAAGTGATGCAGCATACTAATTAACGCCATAGTGATTGACGAGTTTGGAATCGCTCCATATTGGCTAGCATCGATTATGTCTAGAATTGCCGGTTTAACATAATCCTCAACAATGAATTCCTCTGCCACTTTAGAGATGCAGGGGGTCAGGGAAATAGGCCTGAGATCTTTTTCCAATATAGTCACTGTTTTTTTTTGGGTAACGGCGAAACATTTGCTTTCTTCCAGATGGTAGGCAACTGCTGTTCGTAATAGGAAGCATTGATAATTTTCATGACAGGAAGGGCCAAAAGATAAGAATATTCTTTAAAAATCCAGTTTGGTAGATTGTCTGGTCCAGGCGCCTTATGAGGATTTAGTTTTGCTAGAACTTTTTGAACACGTTCTTCAGTAACGTCCAAAGTAAAAATTTTGGTGGGTCTGCTAGCAGAAGACGTTCGAGGGGTTCTGATATTCTGTATTCGGCCAAGGGTGCAAGAAAGGCAGTATTAATGGTGTTAGCTTGTTCATGTGGAGGGAAGTTCGTAAATCCTTCGACATTGATTTGATGGGATCAATTTGTGCCTGCCGACTTTATTCCACTTAACCGCTTAACCTCATTCCACCACTTCCTTGAGACTTCTCCTTTAAGTTGTTTAATGTTGGATTCGTAGTATTTTTTCTGTTGACACAGTTTAGGTAATATTTAAATTGGGGTGAATGTACACCGTGCGCATTGAAAGCATTTTGTCTCTTAAAAATTAGGGATTTAAGCTTCTGGTTCATCCATGGAGCGTCAGCTGGGTGAATACGAATTTGTTTTTCTGGCATTATGTTGTCTAGTCCAGAATGAACTACTTCTTGGAAGACTGTCCACATATTTTCGCAAGTATCCAAGGGACTGAGCATTAAGGTCCAATCAATTGAACTTAAGTATCTTCCCATTTCTAGTTTACGACTTTTCCGCTGGTCACGTATTGTTATCGATTTTTTAGTAGTATTCTTCCGCACTGCAATTTTCCCTGTAGCTACTATTGTATTATGATCGGACAGCCCAAATCCTGGATAACCTTGAGGTGGGTTGTAAAACTTGTGCATATGAGTTAAAATGAGATCTAGCGTAGCATCGTTTCGAGCCGTAGGTATCTTTACAATTTGCTTGAGACGAAAGTG